CCCCAAAACCCCAAAACCCCAAAACCCCAAAACCCCTTGTTATAAAAACAAGATTGAAATAAAGCATTGGTGTTGGAATTTTATGTCATTAGTTTAGCTAAAAGCACTTTCAGACTCCTCAGAGTCAGCTCTAAGTCTTGCCATTTCTTCTTCCTCTGGTTCTGGGTCATCTGGGAGTTTAGCTTGAATACTCTCTCTACAAACAGGGCAACAGACAGAGTTTGATCTTGCTTTTAAGATCCACTGTTCGATTCAGTTTTCATGGAAAATATGAGTGCAGTCAGGAAGGATTTTAATTTCATTCTTCTCTTCAAAATCTTCGAATCAAATAGGGCAGCTTTCAGACTCTCCATGTTTATTACTTTCATAAAGAACTCTTTCAATTCTTGAGTAAATCTTAACTCTTTCTTCAGGAGAATCCTCCTCATTTCTCTCCAAAGTAGCTTCCAAGATGTGTCCAATCGCCTGAATGGTACCTTCTTGGATACCTCTATTCCTAAGATGCCTTAGAATTCTTCTTCTCCTTTGTCTTCTTCCTCTTGCTTCAAAGCGGTCTACCTGGGAGATGTTATGCTCCCTTTGTCTGTGGCGCCTTGATTCTGCGATTTGATCAATAATCATCCTTGCTCTTTCCTCAAATTGAGAATTGATTTCTGAGTCTTCTCTACTTCCTATTGGTATTTCAGGCAAGTTCTCTCTTCTAACTTCATTGTCTTGATTTTCTCTTGCAAACTTGATGATTAACAACAGAAGTTTGATGCAATTGACGAAATTAAGTTTCAAAGACAGGAGAAGCATTATGTAAGTGAATACAACCATCAACTTTCCAACACTTTGATCCTTCTGAGCATTCACTGCATGCATAAAAATAATCGTCACAAGTGCTCATGCAGATGACATTAATTGACATAAGGAAGATACTACTATTTTTATGACTATAACTGAAGAAGAGTCTGATCTCTTGCAGAAGTAGATCCACCATATCCTTGCTGATAGCACAAACACATTGCAGGTTATGAAATGACTAATAGTAAATGCTATTTCTTCTTCTGTTCATCCACTGATTAAAAATAAGAAGTTAAGTAAAACTACAGCTACGGTCAGGATATTAAGTTTGGTATTACAGCTATCACTCAAGTGCATTAATCCTAGCAACTTTGTGTATTTATTCTCTTGTCTTCTGATACGAGGTACGGGAATACTGATGATCTCCATATTTTATAATTATAAAAGATAGGCTTAATGAAATATTTAAATCATCCCAATTCTGATTGTTGCACTTGGGGTTTTGGGGTTTTGGGGTTTTGGGGTTTTGGGGTTTTGGG